AAAAAAAAAAAAAAAAAAAAAAGAAAATTCCAACATCATTAAAATTAGCAGTAAACTGGACTTACTGTTTTGCCTGGTTAACATGAACTCCTAGTGTATAACTGAGCCACTTGTAAGTTACCTGAAAGAAAAAAACAATTTTTAAGGTTTTATTAGATGATCCCAGAGTACAGATAAATGCCAAGAGCCTGCTCCTAAACACTCTTACTCTTGGATGATTATGTCCTGTAAACTACAATAGATGTCCGTTAGAAAAACCATCTACGCGACAAGACCAAGATACTTATCTTACAAATACTAAGATGGTTCACAGATTGACCAATGCAAAAGAATCTACGAAGGTGGGTCAGAGAGATGGGTCAGTGGGTAAGGGGACTTGCTACCATACCCTTTAGAACCTGAGTTTGATCCCCTGAATTCACACAGTGGAATGGGAGGACTGGTCCTTGATATCCACATGTGTGCCATAGCAAGCATGCTCTCACATACTAACACACAAAATGTAACAAATGTTTTAAGAATCTACAAAGTCAAGCCAAATATAAGCAAGGACTCATTTCACTCACACTCCTTGTTTTACTTATGTTTTCTGTCTTTGAGAAGCCGCCACCTACAACTGTCCTAAAATGATCTAAAAGCTAGATTATCTGAAAGTATATAACCCAGGAACTTCTCAGCAAACTTGCAGCTATACAGACGTTAAGGCGAACAGGCGGTGTGGGGACCAGAAAATGAGTTAATGGTTAAATGTGGTATGACAGGTTATTTGGGGAAATAGAGGCATCAAGCCTCCACCCTTCCGTGACCTAGTCGTCATGTCTCTTCTGTTTCTTCCCATTCTAAACGTTGCATTCCCAATAAGGAGACTGAGAGCGGCTGGGTAGAGGCAGGGTGGCTTGAGAGGTAGAGCCAGACCTTAGACTCAAGAATTACCCCTCGCTTACTAATGGCCCATAAACAAGCTATTCGGCCCTTGGCTTCAAATTCCACTTCCAGAGATAACTCCAGCAGCCTGCCTGAGGGAGTGGGAGACGGAAGTCACGGTAACCAAACTGTGCCCATGGGCTCACAATGGCCAAGTTCCTTCACATCCAGGTCTCTCTGGATCTTCACACCAGCCCAGAGAGGCGGGTCAAGCTGCTTTCAATATTTCAATTTCCAGGAAGAGGAAACTGTCTCCGGAGGACAAACCACCCGTCAGTAGCCCAGCTCCTCAACCGCACACTCGGGGCTTGAGGGGCCACCAACCCGGCATGGTTGGACCGGGCATGGGGGAGGAGGCCTCTGGAACCCTGCCTGCTTCCCGGGCTCCGTGCCCCAGCGCCCCCCACGCCCAAAGCCCGCGGACTGCGGAGCACGCGGGGGGCTCTCCCGCAGGGACTGTCTCCAGCAAAGGGGGCGTCGCGGTGATCTGTGCCCCCCCGCCCCGCCCCGGCCGGCCCCCACGAAGCCACAAGCGCCCGGCTCGAGACCCCCGAGCCCTGGCAGGCCCAGGACCCCTCACGTTCGCCTGGCCCGCGCGCGCCCCCGCCCCGGCTCCTCACTATCTTGTTCTGGTCCGTGACGAACTCGTCTATGTTTTCCAGATAGAGCTGTTCCGCCATGGTAGTGCAGCCCCCGAGCCCTTTGCTCAACTCCCGCCGGCGGGAAACGGATTCGCTCACTCCCGGGTCGCGGGTCGTCTCCCACGGCAACCGAGGCGACGCGCTACGGCGGCGGAGGAGGGCCAAACCGCTGAGCGTCCAGCCGGGGCTGCCATAAGAGGAAACTTGATTTAGACCGGAAGTGAGGAGTGCAAGCTTGGTTGACTGTGTGCACCTGGGAGCTTTCCAATCTCTCTGTCGCTGGTCTACTGACTCAGAACCATATAGTTCTCCGCTCTGAGCAAGTTTTTCCACTTGTAAAGTGAGAAAAATACCTCTTGCCGTTTAGCACTGGAACTCAATGGTAGCTCACTTTCCTAGCCAGGGTTTCATTCCCAATGCCTAGGGTGGTGGTGTGAACTAAACTCGAAAAGAAGCCTTGTCTGCAGAGACGGCTTGGCTGATCAGCATTTCAATACTGTGGCGAGATTGAAATGTTGCAGGTCCAGAGGCTAAGGGCCTATCTTTGGCCAGTTCTAGCCTTCCTTACCCATTTCTGTATCGGAATTATCACCCTGTGACTTAATGGATAGGAACCTTTGGAATCTATTAATTTAGCAGACCACTAGCTTCCACCAACCCCAAAGCTAAGAATGCCATCAGATAGCATCTTGATCCTATAGGGAAGCTTCCCCCACATTGATATACCCACCTCTCTGAATATATTTTAAACTTGATTTGTGACTTTCATTGCGCGGTACAACTATAGAACTTCATGGAACTCCTTCCGCATTGGAACATGAAGTTTGGGGTAACCAGGCTATGGCCACTCAAAATCGCTCCAGAATAAAGTGTCTCTCATTCCCTTTAAGATGAGAGCTATGGCTTTTGCATGGACTATGGGGTCAAGTGGGGTGCCCATCCTTGCCATTGGACACCTTTATTCAACAACAAAAGATAAGCAGGTTTTCTAAGTGCTGTTCCAGCACTGGGGCACAGCAGCGGGCAATAGTGGCAGAGGCAGATGAAGAATTTTCATGCTGTTAAAATCCTTCCAAAATAAGAGAGAGGTGAAGGTTCCCAGAGGAGGATGGGGAGGAAGACTGTCTCAGGTTGTTCTAAGGATTTTCATGCTGTTAAAATCCTTCCAAAATAAGAGAATGGTGAAGGTTCCCGGAGGAGGATGGGGAGGAAGACTGTCTCAGGTTGTTCTAGCTACTGACACGTTGGGAGAAGAGGCCAAAGGGAGAAAGGACTTGGGAGGAGCCAGGTCCTGCTGGGCCCGCCAAGCTGTGTAATGAGGCACAAACCTTATTCCTAGGAAAACTGGGAAAAACATCATTAGATTGGAGAATTTCTACTTACGCTTTTGTCAACAGTACACACCACACACAAAAAATCCTTAATAATCGCCTCCGGCCACCGTAGGTCAATCCTATAGCATAGAGGACAAGAAACAGGCTGTGGAGGTAACCTGACTGGGTTTGAATCCTGGTTCTGCTAATTGTGTGCCCTTAGGTAAGTTATTTTAAGTACTAGGAATCTCGTTTTCATCTGTAAGATAGGAATCATAACTTCAAAGGTTAGCTGCAATATGAATTCATAGAAGACATAATGTGCAAAAGCCTACAAAGGGCACGTACTGTTCTTGGTGCTGAAGTGGTGGAGCAGAGCTGTGGTCAAGAGTACACATTGTTACGCCCAGATCTCGGGGACTCCCAAATGACCACCACGGAGACCGAATCCTGTATGTAAAAGCGAAGAGCCTTTATTCTTCAAGCTCTGGGGCTTGGTCTCTCGGTCCTTCCAATGCAGCCATGAGAGCAGAGAGCTCTGAACTCAGGTGGGGCGGGGTTTTTATCATAACAGAGGATGGGGTGAGGAGATTTCCAGGGTTCAGGACCCTGGTCGGCTGACATTTGTCTAGGGGTATAGGGAATGTTTGGAATGTCAGGTATTTCCTCTTAGATGCAGGCCCCACTGGATGGGATCAGCTTATGGCTTTTCCTGGGTCCAAGTGTTGCCTGCCAGAAGCAGTGTCTGGGCCTCTAAGTCTGTCATGGCAGCTGTGTGGTCAAGCTGTGTTGGGGCCTCCCCAACATGAAGCTTACATTCTCCAGAGAGATGTAAATGGGGAGGAGGAGCGACTTCAACAGTGGTATCAGCACGGTGGTGCATGCCTTTAATCCCAGCAAGGGCAAGCTGATCTCTGTGATCTGGAGACTAGCCTGGTCTACCTAGCAAGCTCCAACCTAGCCAGAGCTACATAGTAAAACCTTTCTCAAAACACAAACAAAGAAACAAAATATGGTAGGAATAGTGAAAACTGAAAAGACTGCATGACTTAGGTTTCCTTTTAGGAGGGGGGGGGGTGGCGCGGGGCAGGGGAAAGCTGCTAATTAGAGGAGGGGCGAAACTTGGAGAGTGACGAGACTGGGGACCTAAGCTTTAGGTCAGCCAGGAGTTTCTTGGAAGATGTGAAAAGACTGGGAGAAGAGCAGATGAGAAATCAAATCATTCTCTTTGGCGGGAGTTATAAATGAGATAATGGAGTCTTCACACTGTGCCCGCCACAGTCACACTAATAATAGTCGGTAACTCCGCTATCACATTACAAACATACCGAGCAATGCTTTTAAAATGGTATTGCATTTAGCCTCGTAGAAACCCAGCAACTGGACTGCATGGGTTTCATAGAGAACTGTAGCCAGCAGATGCCAGTAAATAAACCGAGGGCCATGTCAAGGCCATTAGTGTTTTGTTTACAAATTCACTGAAAGGTTTTAGGGTCAAAAATAAACCAGAGAAGGGTATCCCTTGGGATTTTCCCTCCCACAAATGAAAGATGAAGAAAGTCATTTAGTTTGTGTATATTCCTCAGATACTAATTATTTATTTAGTGTCTATGTGTGGTGGGTGTCCCAAGGAGTGACCCCAATCCTCAAGTAGCCTTGTTAGATTTTAGCATCCCTTCACATATACACATACAAAAGATGAGGTCCTGTTTGCAATCAGCTTTATGCTGTTAATGGAAAGAGTAGCTGCAGAACAAGCTGTACGGACTTTGAGACAGGGTTTGCTTCAACACAAACGATTTAAATATGCTCTTGGGACCGGTGACATGGCTCAGCAGGTACAGTGCTCCCAGTGCAAGCCTGAGGACCCGAGTTCCATCCCCGGAAGCCACGTAGACATGGAAGGAGAGAACTGACTCCTCAGAGTTGCCCTCCGACCCCCACACACCGTGGTCCATGCCGGACCCCACACATGCACACAATAATTAATAAATACCAGTTTAAAATTACTGTCTTCATAATGGCACAACACTAGCATATGATAGACTCTCAATAACTGTATTTTGATTTAGGTTTCGTTCCAATGAAGACAAAGAGGAAAATACAGTTGAGAAAGAAGGAGAGCTGAGGTACATTCACTATGACTTACCGTTCATTGATGGGCAGGTGCCACGATAGACTTTGTACTTCAATCTTCTCATGAAATCTCTTCAGTCATCGGGGATGTAAATGTTACCTGTGTACCAGTATACTTGTTGTACAGATGTTGTATAACCGAAATCGTTGTCTCAATTTCATAGAAATTGTTCACAGTTAAGTAGTTTACTCCAAACCATATAGGTAGTAAGTGACAGAGATGTGTTTCTATCCCAGGGATGCCTCACGCCCACCTTCCCACACTCTACTTGCCTTAGTGGTAACATTGAGCTGCCTTTTGATTAATTCCTTGTTATTTTTATTTTATTTTTTTCTTGTAACTGTTTGACTTTTTACAGACCTATATAATTTTTATGATCAGAGAAAATGGGTGGGGTGGGGGCGGGTGTGTGTGTGTGTGTGTGTGTGTGTGTGTGTGTGTGTGAAACACTTAGCAATGTAAAACCAATTCATTGTCTTCTTCCAGATACCTGCAGTGTTTTTCGGTATTTGAGACACAAAATGCAACTCTTCAAAAAGGAATGGAGCTACCATTCTGCTGTACCTTCTACACCTTTAAAACAAACAGAACTCTTACTCCCTCTGTCTTAAGGATAAAGCTTAATGTCAGTGTGTCCTGCTGGGAATTCAACAGTTCCTGGAAACCGGGACCAGCAGTCAGCCTAGGAGCCAAGGACGCCAAAGCTTAGGATGTGAGTGTCAGGTGATACCAGCAGTGGGAGCCAGAGGCTCAAGACTCAGTCTAAAGTTGACATAGACTATAGAAGGCTGACTGACCATCCTTCTCTTTCCTTTTCATTTTCCGAATGATTGGCAGCAGTGAGTGTTGTGACTGGTCAGGGCCCTGAGTGGGAATACAGACAGTTCAGCACGGTGAGAGCACTCTACCTACGTGCAGTCAGGATCCCAAGACCCAGTTTTGGGGACCAGGCAGGCCTTTGATTGAAAGGAGAAACCAGGAGGAAAGGACTCAGGGACCCCACCCTGAGCTCCAGAACTGCCACAGGTCTGGAGATTGCAGGGTGACAAGCCAAAATCAGTAAGTTCAAGATTAATATCTATGATTCAAAGGCTACATAGTTTACCCAAGGGGCATTCCAGAGGGCCAAGGACATAGTCCTTCTTGACACAAAAGTGTCAGGTAGATATTAATGCTTTAAACACCTGTTGCTTGTATATCAGGCCTTATATAACTAATAGG